TACCATAAATAATTATACACTGACATGGAGATGGTAAAATTGCATCACAAGGAACAGTAGCCTGGTGCCCTGGTGGTCTCAGTTCATTGTCTCAAGACTGGAGATAGGATAGGTTACCTCAGTCTCTCAGACTGCCTGTTGTGTGTTGTGACAGAGATGGCTCTTTGTACACTGGGGAAATAGCGCTGGGAACTGGTTGAAGGTGCAGCACACAGGAAATTGAGTTAAGAAAAGAGGAAACAGTTTTGCAAATTGCTAAGCAGGGACTACCCCATCTGGAGAGAATACTGGTAAATGACCGTAAAGAAGCTGTAAGTATCCTTGACCTCAGCTCAGCGGAAGGGAAGAAACCAAAATGCCTTTAGCATCAGGAAGGACCAAACAGTCTCCGGATCACATCTTTTCAGTCATTAAAGAGAGAAAAGTGAGTCAATAGCAGAGAAAAACCAGATTCCTCCTACAGCTAATTGCAGCGGTGGTTAGAAAAAGTGCAAACAGTTTCTTTTTCTGCTCTGGACATGTAAAATGTGTCTATGTACATTAAGTTAGGCAAATACCAGCAGCTTGCAGCAACAAACAAGCAAGCTTTTACAATGATACTGTGTATCACATCCTGCTCCTTTCAAAGTGCACCTAAAGCAGTGTATACAGCCCTCATTTTCTGATTTTTGTTTTTGACATTTGAGGATAACAAAATAAAGCTGCACAGAATGATTTTGGCAGGGTTAAATAATGTACGCAGTGGGGACAGCTGTGTCATAAAACCGATACCACCACACACCCCGGGTTGTCCTTAAGTGGCTCAAAGCCAGATCTGTAAGTGAGCCGCATTTGCCACATATACCAGAAAACAGACTCTGATTTAAGTAGATGCAAGTAGAACTTAATTCTTTAAAATTTATATGTGTGTATATGTAGTGACTTAAATAGTTTATTAAATGTCATGTAATTTTTATGGAAACTTTTGCTGAGAAGCCCAAGCTGTTTTCTCCACCTCTGGCAGCTGGGGTTATGCTTAAGGGGGGTTCATGAACAACAATATAGGAATCTAAGCAGTCAAACTGATAAATTTGTAATTTAATTAACTGAGCTCAGGAGCACTTGTATACAGATCCCCTGATTCAGGGTCCTAACAAGTGGCCCCGAACTGGAAAGTTACAGAATTTTTAAAAGAGAGAATCACAGAATACATCCTGTTGGAAATAACTTAGCTAGAATCTCTCATTAGTTTTTGGTTGACACCTGTATCCTGCTTCTTTGTTGAGCAGGCTGATTTTTCTCCTGTAGGTACAGCTCATTCTGCTTTTTTCATGGGACTTATACCATGAGTAATTTTCCATTTTTCTGGGTCAAATACAGGGCACCAGTTAAATGCAGAGCTCAAGATGGCATCAGTTATGCCACGCCACAGCAATGCTCACTTCCACACTTGGGGTCACAATGGATGTGGACTCAGATTTCTGGGTGCTAGTACTTGGTGGTGTGGAGACCAAGGGAACATTTAGTAAGGGAATAGAATCAGGGAAATAATAAGCAAGTTGTTGATGTGGTACTGAGTGAGAATTCTGGACTTGGCTTGAGTGGAATGCTACTCGATGTAGCACCCAAATTTGATAATGCAAAAATGCAGTGAGAGCGTCTGCAGTGGAGTCACATGCACTTTACATTTACTTGAGGTGCTGGGGTTCAAGCCTGGGGTCGCAAGTAGGCAGACAAGCACTCCACCCCGAGCCACACCCCCGGCTCTGCATAACTGCCCTCTGAGATGAACGTGTTCTATCCGTAATAATAAGGAAGCAGGCTGAGGAGACTCAAGGCAGCTGGTAGGAGCCGAAACAGCGCCCACGTTGCTGCACCGCGTGTAGACCATCGGGGGACGGGCAGGGCACGGATGTAGGAGCCTCTAGGTCTGTTCTCAAGAGAGGATTTTGGGGCCCCGTGTCTTGGACAGTGTTCAGAGGTCTTTGGTCATTGCCACAAGAGGGCGCTGCGGGCACGTGCTGGGACCTGGGCGGTTGCTCAGCGTGCACATCACGCAGGCAGAGCCTCTGCTGCCCTGGTGGCCCTGAGGTGTCCAGGCTGCACAGTCTGGGCCCAGACGCAGGGCATGATGAGAGCCCGGCCGCCCAGAGGCTAAGGTTTGAGCAGTTCGCAGGAAGGGAGCTAAAAATAACCTGGCCTTCTCCAGCCGCGCTGGAGACTTGGACCCCACGAGCTGGTCACTGGTGCAGACAGCGCTGGTGCAGTGGAGTTCACTTTTGGGTGATCTGGAAAGTCTTGGAAGGCCTGTAACCCCAGAACTCCGGGAGTTAAGGCAGGAGGATCACATGTTCAAACCCAGCCTGGCAACTTAGGAGACCCTGTCTCAGAATGCAAAAGGGGCTGGGGAGGGAGCTCAGTGCGAAGGCCCTGGGTTCGATGCCCAGTAGTTAGAAAGAACCCAGAAGGAGGCAGCGGTGGTTTCACAAAGCTGTGAGCCCTGAATTTTGCAGGATCGGTCGCTTTCCAAGAGTTCATGCGGTGAATTCGGTGCGGGTGCTTTGTCACAGTCAGAGGCCTCCAGGCGAGTGCGCCCTCTGCTCGCAGAGCAAAGTCTCCCCAGTGAGCAGCACCGTTTATTCCACAAAGCAAGCGCGGCGCGGTGGTCACACTTCCTGTGTGAAAACTAACTTTTTAATTTTCTGGTACAAGGATTGAACCCAGGGCCTTTGCACTTGAACTACCTCTCTAGCTCTTTTGTTTATTGTTGTTGTTGTTTTTGGCATAAGGTCTCACTATGTTGCTGAATTGCCCAGACTGGGGTTGAAATTGGTATTCTCCTGCCTCGGCTTCCCAGACAGTTAGAATGCTAAGAAAACTGACTTTCTCTGAAGGAGGTGATTTTTCTCGGAAGGAAGTGATCTTTCCGGGGGTTCTCAGACCATAAAGGACTCCGCAGCCAGGCAGGGCCTGTGCTGAGGAGCCTGCCACCCTGGACTCCACCTCTTTCCTCGGATCTTTCCTTTGGCTTCCTTTTAGTGCGGAGGCTCTGCTCAGCCTCCAGCCGAACACCCCGCCCCCAGACTCCGTTCTCTCAAGAGGCAGCCAAAGGGGACAGCGGCCTAAGTGCCTCAGTACCCGGGAAACTCATGGCGCAAACTGGGCAACGGGGCAGTGTGTCACATGCGGACCCTTACAGTCGGCCCCACGCATGGGGCTCGGAGGTGCCTGAGGCTGCGGACCACGCACTGTGTGCCGAGCTCTTCCTGCACATGCATGGCTGTAGGCGAGCCAGGCTTCTAAACGAGGCACAGTTGGAGCCAACAGTGGCCGATCATAAAGTCAGACAACTGCCACACAGACCATACAAGATGACACATGGGGACAGTGAGTTTGTGAGACATTTTAAGTGGCCCATGGGGTCACAGAAATCACGGCATTTCTCACTACTGGGGTGGCTTAGTGGTTAGTGCACTTGCCGAGTCTGCAAGCGCCCTGGGTCTCTAAAGCTACAGGCAGGGGTTCCCCAAGGACAACATACTGAGGTGCCATAGGGGCAACAGCGACCCTGTAGGCGGTGACTGTCAAGCACCATGGCACCAATACAAGGGAACAGCGCATGCGCCTGACCCGCCTGCTGTGTGGCGACCACGCAGCCTTTCTAACATTTCCACGCAGGACGTTATGGGCCGGGGTTTCCAGACTAAAGGGCGGTGAGACGCTGAGAGGTGATGGGCAGGGCAGTGGCTGGCGCTGCCTGGGCGCCTGAGGACTAGGGAGGGACCAGGCTGGACGCGGCTCCCAGGGGGCGCGGTCCTCACAGAAGGGAGGTCAGGAGTCCACGCTCTGGTAGGGCAGAAGCCGATGGCACGATCGGAGGTGCTGGACGCAGCGCGAGTTTAAAGCGAGGGCGAGGAGAAACAGAGGCCAAGTAGGGCCTGCAGCTGGCATCCTGCAGAGCCTGAGGGTGGAGAAGATCGAGGCCGAGCCGAGAAGAGAAGATCGAGGGCGGAGAAGATCGAGGCCTGGCTGGGGAGCAGCAGGAGAGGCAGGAGACCTGTGAAGGACTCGGGGAGGAGCCCGAGGTCAGGGGTGACGTGGTCACCTCAGCCTGCCTGGGGCTGGGGGCTCCATCGTGGTCTCAGTCTACCGGGCTGGGGGCTCCATCGTGGTCACCACTGACGGCCCAGAGAATGCCAGGCTCAGGGCCTGGGTCCCCGCAGGAGCGGAGCCAGGAGCAAACCAGCTACGTGGGTGATGTCTCCGGGAGCCGGGGCCCCAGGTCCGGGGTTGAGGAGGACGGAGGAAGGGATGCTGCCCCAGTAACTGTCCTCGTGGGCTGACTTCGGCCCTCCTGGAGAACAGGGTGAGGTGTGGGGCACAGGATGTTTGAGAGCGGGGTGCAGCTTAGCTGCAGAGCACTTGCTCAGCCTGTGCGGGGCCTTGAGTTCAATCCCCATTCCAGAATGACAGAGTTCTGTGCTCCCAGCTCTCTGGGAGGCTGAGGCAGGAGGACTGCACCTCTGAGCTACACTTTGCATTGAGCTACATACACCCCAAGGCTTTTCTAACTTATTTTTTTATTTTTTAATTTTGAGACAGGATCTTGTTGAGTTGCCCAGGTTGGGCTCAAACTTTCAATCCTCTTGCCTCAGCCTACCAGAAGGCAGATAGATGTGCACCACCAAGCAGTCAAGTCTCCACTTCTAAGGATTCCAGGGTCTTTCGCTCTGTTCACTGCCCTGAGCCCTCCCTGGACGTGATGTCCAGACTGGGGGATTTAGAGACTGGCCCAGGAGTGAGGCTCGGAGAGGGCCCAGCCCAACTGCGAACTGTTGGTGGTTGCTGGGTACCGTGTCTTCTCAGGCCTGTGGTCAGAGTGAGCAGAGATGCTTAGCTCTCTGCAGAGCGCTGTGTGAAATCCCCGTGCTGAAGCGCCAGCCTTGCCAACCACATCCTGGCCTCTCTGCCTGCCAGGCTCTGTCCTGCCCACGGCTTAGCCCAGCCATGGAGTGGGCACCATGCAGACCGCACTTGCTGCCCTGCTCTGCTTCGGTGAGTCCCCATCGGGAGGGAGGTGTGTGTGGGGGTCGTGTACAGTGGGGACAACACGTCTCCTGTACCCTGTTTTCCAGGGCTGTGTCAGAGCTGGGAGGTTAGCACCCGGAAGTGTGAGTCCTTCCTGCTGACCCCAGCGTCACAGTCGGGTTCCGCTCCAGTGTTCATTCATGGGTGTCAATCTGGCAGGGTGTCGGGCTGTGTCTCCTAGAGCTCAGGGCAGCAGCTGGGTGGGGGCCCCTGGAGCTCAGACTCTGCTCCCCGACAGAGACACTCTCCAAACCTATCATCTGGGCCGAGCCCAGTGAGGTGGTTGAGAAGGGGTCGCTGGTGACCATCTGGTGCCAGGGCGCAGTGGACACTGAGGAGTTTCAGCTGTACCTGGAGGGGACCCTCTTCACCTTAGAGAGGCCGAAGCCCCCTGGGCTGAGATACAGAGTCCACGTTCTCATCCCGGCCATGAGCTCCCACACGGCCGGGCAGTGCAGCTGCGGCTACCAGAGTGGGGAGAACTGGACTGGAGCCCAACGACGCCCTGGACCTGGTGGTGACAGGTGACCATCCATGTGCTGGCTGTGCAGTCCTCTCCTGGGCCTGCATCTCAGGACAGCGTGTCCCGCAGCTCTGGCCGTCCCGCCTGTCCTGCTGATGCAGGGCGAACTGGAGAGAGGTCTGGATTGGCGGCCAGAGAGACTCGGGGTCCTCGGGACAGGTTGGGGTGGCATCCTCTTCTCCAGGAAAAGCTGAGGGAATGGAGATAGGAACCCAGATTCTAGGGTGGCTTTGGGGCTGAAGGATAGGGAAATGGGGACGTTGGGACGAGGGCCCCTTTCACCCACCAGCCACCTTCTCCCACAGGAACGTATGATACCCCCACTCTCTGGGTTCATCTGGGGCTGCAGGTGACTCCTGGGGAGCCTGTGACCCTGTACTGCCACCTGGAGACCAAGACCAGCATGTTCGTCCTGCTCAAGGAGGGGAGACTCCGCCGCGTGCAGCATGGTCAGGGCCCTGTGCAGGCCGAGGTCCCCCTGGACCCCATGACCTTGGGCCCACCAGGGCATACAGGTGCTTCGGGTCCTACAACAGCCACGCGTGGTCCTTCCCCAGTGAGCCCGTGGAGCTCCTGTCACAGGTGAGAGCAGCCGCTGTCCTTGACTCACTGTTCCGGGCCGAGGATCCTGGGCTTCTCCTCGGGGCTGGGACCCAGCGCGGAGCAGTGGGCAGGGTGCTGGAAAGGCAGGAAGGTGCAGTCAGGGCAGGCAGAAGGAGGTGCAGGGGGAAGAGGAGAGCAGCCCAGGACACAGGGAGAGGTCCTCTGTGTCCAGGGTTTCTGGCTTTGTTTGCCCCCTGCCCCATGCTCATGCGGCCTCGGGCAGTGGTCTCATCAAACCCACACCCTGCCCAGGCCCTGTGCAAACCATCCCACAAACAGCTAGGCCTCCATCAGGGTCTTTCATTGGCTGTGTCCATATGCAAATGAAGGCTTGAAAAGACCTTTTTCTGATTGGTCTTGCCAACATATTCAAATGAAGGGTTTCTGATTGGTTCTGTGTACTGTGAGGTGGGATGTTGCTCTCCTTGGCTTGTTTTATTACCTGGAACCCCAGAGAACCCCAACAGTGAGGAATGGGGAAGATCCAAAGGGACTTCCATTTCTTAGAGACCCAGTTAGTACAGCTGGGTGTGATGGTGCACGCCTGTAATCCCAGCCCTCTGGGAGGCTGAAGCAGGGGGATGCTTTGAGCCTATTCTGGGCAACTGAGCAGCCTGGCAAGACCTTGTCTCTACAAAATGAAGAATAGCTGGGGCTGGGGCTTGCTGAGTGCAAAGGCCCTGGGTCTAGTCCCCAGGAGAGGGAGAGAGAGAGAGACACAGAGAGAGATTGGCTGGGGGTTCTTGAGGAAGAGGGAGATAGAAAAGGAGAGGTGTGTGTGAAGCCAATCTGGGAGACCAGAAGACACGCCAATGCCTGATTCTCCTTCCATTTCCAGGAGACAGAAACACCAGCTTTGCCCCCATGGACCCTACCCCTTCTCCAGGTGAGGAGCTGGATCTGAGCTCCTGGGCGGGTGTGAAGCCTCCCTGATGACCCAATGGCGCGGCCTCCACCCTCACCTGGTCCAGTGAGGGCCAGGTGTGTCCCGTGCAGCTGGACCGGCAGCGGTTTGTGGCCCCGCCCCCAGTGGGAGGAGCCCGATAGAGACCAGGCTCTAAATCAGACAGGAGGCCAGGCCAAGTGTTGCTGTCCAGGGCACCACTGAGACGGGCATAGGAGCCAGAGATGCCAAAAGCAGCAGAGCCTGGGTGCTGGGTGTGGGGAGAGAGGGGGCCTCCCCGGTGGGAAGGCACGGCCCAGAGGGGCAGACAGAGGCAGGGGGTGGGGGTGCAGCACAGTGTTAGGGTAGAGGTGGGGGTGGAGGTCTGGCCAGACAAGCCCACACCGACCTCGCCCCTGGGCCTCCTGTCCCTGCAGCAGTGCACAAAGGGGAGCACTGTCCTGGTCCTTTGGAGCTGGGAGTCCTGAGAGGTCGGTGCACTGGGTGGGGTAGGGGTGAGGTGGGTGGGGGCGGGGCCGGGTGGGTGAAAGGGGCTGTGGTCCCTGTGCAGCGCCACTGCCTGTCACAGGCTCCTATCTCGTCCTGCGGCTCGGCCTGGCGCTCCTGGTGCTGCTGGCCCTCGAGCTGCTCTGGGCCGAAGACTGGAGGGGCAGAAGGAGGGCCATGGGGGCCAGGCGGGGGAGCACGCAGACCACAAGGGGTGGCCGCACTGGGCTCAGGGCTGCGTGAGCTCAGTGCTGGACCCGCGAGGTGGCTGGGGTGCGGGGCGCGGGGGGTAGGGGGTGGCAGAGGCTTCGCTGTTGCAAAGGAAGCCTGGACTTGTTGGGCTCCGGGACCCTCAATCTCTGCTGGGCTCGGGGAGTTTGTGCTGCTTCCTGCAAACGGCCTGGTGACCACGGAGGGCTTCCTGGGTCTCGTTCCTTCAAAAGCAGGGCCTCAGGGGGTGTTCCTGCCGCTTTGCTGTTTGTGTGCATACACGCGCACGGATGGTGTTTGTGGGTGTGTGTGTGAGTGTGTATGAGTACACATGTATGTGTGCGCGCACATGTGGGTGAGTTCGTGTGTTTGCATGGGTGAGCATGTGTGTGTGTGCTTTGTGTGCATGTATACGCGTGCAAAGGTGTGTGTGCACATGGTTGTGTGTGCATGTGAGCGTCCATGGCCGTGTGTGTACAAGTGTGTGTGTGTGTGTGTGAGCGAGTGTGTGGTTCTGCGAATTGAACCCAGAGCTTCCCACCGAGCTCCGTGCCTTCACTTTCTTTCTCTCTTACTTGCTGGGCAGACTCTGGCTAAGCCGCTAAGGGCGATCCTGTCAACAGCTGAATAATAAAATCAGGGCCGGGCAAAACTCAGTGCAGAGTTTCTTGGTTTTGCGGCGCTGGAAACACTGGAGCTTCAACCGGCCCTGGGCCTGGCGCACATGCTGTTCCATCAGATCAGAACCAGAGCGGCAGCACCGCGGTCTTCAAAGATTGGTTACCATGCTTCAGTAAAACGCTGTTTGCTAATAACTTGCATATTCTGTGCCTCACAGAAACACATGGCTTTAGTCTTAGAATTTAAACATTAAAATCTTAATTATTTTAGTGCATCTGAACGCAAAACTTGCTCATTAGCTTTTCCCCTAAAATCTAAGCAGTTTTGAAAGGGAGCTGCCATGCCAGCCTCACGGTGGTGATTCCACTGGAAAGCCTGGTCCTGCGCTCTTCTCTCCCGGTCTCATTTCCTTGTGAATTATTTCTCATCCCCACTTTGTCTCATACATCATTGTCCATTTCTTTCTGGTACTGGGCATTGAAGCCGGGGCCCCATGCATGCCAGGGAAGCTTTGACCACGGAGCCCTCCGCCCCTGTGGTGGAAATCGCTATGTGTGAGTCCCGGAGCTGCCGTCCCTGGGAACAGGATGGCTCCGCCCCACGGGGATTCATACAGAGGCGCAGGCGCAGGGAATTGTGCGGGCCCTGCTTCCCCTTAGTGTGGTTGGTGTCACACAGCGTGAGAATTCGCGTGCGGTGGAATCGAGCAATGAAAGCACCCATTTCCAGCTTGGTTGTCTGCGTCCAGCGCTGGCGTGGCCTTCTGGGATCAAAGGTAGTCACCGCTGTCCCTCCCACACTAGGCAGGGGACGAGCGTCCACTTCGCATCTGCAGCTCCCATAATAGTGATAAATACAGGCAGTCCCAATCTCACACCAAGTTTAAGTTGAATTTAGCTTTTAAGCTGATGTGAGAAAACATAAAGAATGTCCCTGTTTACGGCACACGTGGTGTTGGGCACAAGTTCACCTTAGGTGTGGCTCGCCTCGGGGAGGAGACGTCTAGGTAGCAGTCTTCCGTAATAGTCATCGTGTCTTTTTCTTTCACCTCTGGGGACTGGGCCCACAGCTTTCACAAGGGTTCTTTAGCCCCCTTGTAATTTTTATTTTGAGACAGAACTTCACCAAGTTGCCTGAGCTGGGCTTGAACTTGCAATCCTCCTGCCTCAGCCTCTCAGAGTGAGGGGACTACAGGCGTGTGCCGCCACGCCCAGTTTATCTTTCATTTCTCTGTGGCGCAAACATCCCGAGTCCTTTCCCTGCACTTTTGGAAACGCATCACACCCTCTTAGCAAGTGCAGGTTGAGGGTCCTTGTGCTGCTATAGCATCGCCCTCCAGGACTTCTCCGTTTTATAAAATGAAGCTGTGACCCACTGGAGTCGCCTGCGCTCCGGGATAAGCGCCTGTGCCTGAGGGTCAGGACTGTCTCTCGGGTCCCTGTTTATCTGTTTATCTGGACAAAGTGGACACCTTACAAGCAAAGGAGGGAAGGGCTCACATTTCCACCCCTTCCCAGCCTTTTGTATTTAGTGAAGACATATTAAAACTAGGAAGGAAGAAACACTGGGAGGAAAGCACAGGGCTGTAACCAGACCCAGATACAGATGGAAATCAGCCCGCAGGTCAGAACGGGGGTCTGAGCAAGGTCCTCTCAAGCCCCTCCTGGGGCTTAGAGAGCTCAGGCTAGGCACCTCTCCCCTGGGCCGCTTCTGCGCATATCTGCGGCACCGAGAGTTCATCTGTGTTCTCTAGGGCTGGGCCCAGGTCCTCTCCGCCCGCCCCACCCCAACCCTGGCTGCCCAGACCAGGTCCCCTAGTGCTGTTCGCTCCCTGTGCTCCTCATGGTTGCTGTGCCAGTGGTCCACGCCCAAAGCCAGCAGCGCTTGGAGGACTAGCGCTGCTGGGCCAGCTGCACCGCATTCTCTGCAGTGTGCTTCTGGGTCTTGGGCTCTGCAAGGCCCCATGGGAAGAGACAAACCACTGCAGGTCAGTCTGGCCAATCCCAACCGAGAGTGGAAGCAGGGCTTGGCCCCCCTCTGTCCCATGGAGCCCCTGCTCTGAGAGCTAAGGTACCCTGTGCCTCCTTCAGGGACTGGGGACACCCTCTCCCTGTCCCCTTTGGTGAATTCCCAAAGCTCTGATTCTATGTCTGCAACCTCTCTCCTCATCTGGAACTTGAAATTCTCTTGACTGCTATTTTTGTTTGTCTTTGTTTTTTTGGTTCAGGGGATTGAACTCAATGCTCTGCCACTAAGCTACATTCCCAGCTCTTTTCCTTTGGTAAAAATGTTTTGAGATGGGTTTTGCTAAATTGCCCAGGTAGGACTCGAACTCATAACCCTCCCTTTTCCACCTCTTTTAGCTGCTGGGATTGCAGGTCTACACTGCTATGCCCGCTGCAGTTCTCTCCGCTGTACCTTCCTAGATGTCACACATTCCATTGCTGTCATACCTGGCAAACATCTAGCACTACTGGGCCTGGGAAGGAGGTGGGGGAAAGTTCAGAAGAACTTAGGTAAGGTTCCGCCAGCTGTGTGACCTCTGCCGGTGGTGCCCTGAGGTCTTCGTGACCTGAGGGCTTCCTGCTCATGTACAGAGCCCACATCTGTTCTGGGTGAGATCAGAGAGCTAAGTGCAAAGACTACTCAAGTGGGGAAGATGACACAGTAAGAGTCCTTTTCACACGGGAGTGAGGGTGATTCCTTCCGCCAACATGGTGACTGTTCGCTCTAAGGAAAGAGATGGAAGCACTCCCCAAATTAAAATGTTAACACGTGTGTCCATCAGAAGATACCCTGAGAAGGTGACAAAAATTCACAGCACATGCACAGCCGACAAAGAAACAGTCAACAGTGAACGGAGAGAAACTGCAGTCTAATGGTAAAAACCTACCGGGTATATTGCAATAGTTCTGAGACAACAGGATGAGCCATTTAGGGAATTATTTGAACTTCTCCCTACTTCCTGTTTCTCCAACTTCCTTTTTTCTCATATGAGGAAACCATGAGGTAGTTAGGTTCATGTAAAAGAAGTTTTTGTGGTATCATCTGTTTGGGTTTTTTTTGTAAGAGTGAGTTTTTTTGGTCATGTTTTGTTCTCTGAATAACTCTTTTGGTATAATTTTTTTCACAGAATAAAGAGAAATACAGTAAAGAAGCCTGTGTCTGCAAGAAGAAATAAAGAGAAATAGTTGATAATTTAAATCAGTTAGCAAGAGACAGAGGGCAGAAGACTTAGCCAGACCTAGACACCATCACTTCACAGGGAAGCAACACAGATTCTGCAGACATGGCAGCGTGTGCTTCATTGTCAGTGAACGAAAAGTAAATTACAGTGAGAAGGGAATATCTTGTCAGATTCTATTGATGGAAAAAAACATTAAAATCCCAACTTACTGTGTGTGGTGCAGCCTGCAATCCCTGCACTCTAGGGGCTGAGGCAGGAGGATCACAAGTTTGAAGCTGGATTGGGTTCAGGCTGCCTGGACCTCACAGGAGACCCTGTTTTAAGACCAAACCAGATGAACCAGAAACCTGACAGCTCGGCATTTGGAGCCACAGGGTCTCATATGTGGCCAGTGGAGTGCAGTTGGTACACCTGAGGGCCACAGTGCACCTGTCCTCAGCGATCCTGCTGAGGGAGCTTTTGGCAATCCTGACCTGGGGCCAGATCCTCCTGGCAATCCTCCTGCATCAGCCTCCCGAGTGCTAGGATAGGAGTGTACCACATGGCTGGCTCCACTGTCTGCTTTTGTGTGGTCCATGAGCCTCAGAATGTGCTTTATATTTTTAAATTGTAAAAAAAATTCAAAAGAAGAATATTCTCTCCAGGCATGGTGATGCACACCTGCAATCCCAGCACTCAGGAGGCTGAGGCAGGAGGATAGCTATGAGACTGAGCCCATCCTGGACCACATAGTGAGACCCTGTGTCAAAAAGAAGACTGTTCTTTCAGGGCAGTGAAAAACTTATGACACTCAAGGGTCAATGTCCGTAGAACATGACCGGGACTGGTGCACAGCCAAGCTTGTCATTTACACTTGGACATAGCTACTCTGGTGCTGTGGAGGAGCTGCCACTTAAGGCCCTGGGAGGCAAGGCTGGGAGGGGAGAGAACCGGGGTTGGTTCCATGCTAATGCAGTGGAGGTGATTGTAGGGAGTCCTTGAAGCTGGAGATGGATCCCATGTGTGGGGCTAAAGCAAGGCCAGTGCTGAAAACACAGAGAGCCCAGAACAAACCTCCTAAACAAGCTGTTCCAGCTCTGGGAAGGCAAGGGGCCCAGGCCCAACAAATAGCTGGGCAGTGGGTTGTAACTGACAGCGTCCTCCTGAGTGTATGAATAAACATGCCACAGTGGTCCCGCAGTTCCCTCCCTCCCATTAGGAGAGAGGGATCCTCCTGACCCCAGCTTTCCTCTCTTCATTTTCCCATCCTCTCACCATCCTTTCCCTGGGAGCATCTAGAGCTGCAGTTGGTCGATACTGGTGCTGAGCTCCTGGTCCCCTACATGTGGCATGTGGGACAGACCAGAAGACTCTAGACATGCCAGTGCATGCTGACCTCACTGTGATGGCTGTGCCCCAGATATCGCCAAGCCTCTTGTGGTCACATGAGGGCTTTTCAGAGGTGCTGGATCTAGAGTGTGTGATGCTGAGATTGGCTCATGGTGCAAAGCTGGGCTCAAGGATGCTAGGATGAAGGGTGTGAGTGCTGCCTGCCCTAAGCAATTTGCAGAAGATACAAGAGATAGAAAAAGCTGTGGTCCTCCTTTGTTGCTTTGCTGCCTTCCACCTACCATGAACTGCTTCTCCTCTGACACACCACCCTGCTTTGGAGCCAGCTGATTGTGACTGAAACCTCTACAAACTGTGAGCTGCAACCCTTCTCTCCTCTAACTTCAGGTGTCAGGTACTTTGTCTCAGCAGTGAGAAGAGCATGACACTAACTTTGAATAAAATGCCTTTGTCCCAACACCAGAATGGTTATTGCAACTGGAAATCAACCAAATCCAGGTTATCTGGGTCCACAAAGCTCTGAGCTACATTTGCAGCCATTTCAAAGTTTTTAAATTTTGAGACACAGTCTGGCTGAGTTGTCTAGGCTGGCCTTGAACTTGTGATCCTCCTGCCTCAGCCTCTCCAGGAGTGGTGTAGAGGGAGCACCATTGTGCCTGGAAGGTGTATTCTTTTTCATATGAAGATAAGCAGAAAGAATGAGTCATAGGTCAGCCCAGTACCTGTATTAAGAAGTATGTGATAACACGAAATAGGCAGATGAAAGAAATGAAGAAAGACAGATTAGGGAAGGAAGGGAAGGAGGGATGAGGGAGGCAAAGAAAGAAGGGGGAAGGAAGGACAGAAAGGGACCTGGCCGCTGGGCTGCACTCTCCTGACCCTGGAACCCCTGGGCTATGGGACATGCACAGGGCTCTGGGCCAGATCAGGCGGTCTTTACAGTTCCCGTCATGTTATGTCAGTCACTCCGCAGTGCATGTGGGCACGGTGCTCTTTCTGTCACCACGGCCAGGTTTTTATGGTTTAAACCCAAGATCATGCACTGATTGCTCAATTCAGTCTCAATTTGCTCTCCTGGGGAGACACGGAAAGGTCCACTAATCCGATTAGTGGAGCTGGTCTGTCTCCTGAGAAACACGTTCTCCAGCCTGCATCTCCAACTGAAGCTCCAGAAGCAGTGAGGAGGCACAAGCCGGGGAGCCTCTTTTTTTTTTTTTAAGAAAGAGAGAGAGAGAGAGAAAGAGAAAGGGAGAGAGAGAGAGAGAGAGAGAGAGAGAGAGAGAGAGAGAGAAGTAGACAGACAGGAAGAGCCTTGTCCTGAAGGCTGAAATGCAAGACAAAACCAAACACCCAAAGTGCTGCTCGCTATGGGGTTGGCTGCCCTTTGTGTGATGTAAATAAAGACTGACAATCCTGCTCCTAGGAGCCCTGTCCAGGCGAGCACTCACACTGGACTCTAGACCTGCAGGTTACTCTGAGGATTCCTGGCTTGTGGGAAAGAGGTAAACCAGCGAGGTCCTGTCTGGCATCTGCAGCCTTGCAAGAATCCCTGATGTGAGACTCAGTACTGGTCTCACCTCACTCAATTGACTGTATGTGTGGTGGTGCACACCTGTGATTCCAGCACGGGGAGGCTGAGGCAGGAGGACTGCAAGTATGAGTCACGCTTGGCAATTTAAAGACTTAGGAAGCACTTAAATAAGTGGATAGCTAGAGAGCTAGATAAATAGACAGATAAAGGGTGGGGGTGTAACTCAGTGTCTCCAATACTGGAAAAAAGAAAATTCCACATGCTTTGAAAGGATCTTGGAGGACACCAGCAAAGACATGGACCATGTGTGTGGGGTGAGCGAGTAGCCCTCTGTCCTGGGTGGGACTTCACTGCCTTCCCTTTGTTTCTCAGGGCAGCACTCCAGTCCCCACCTGGGGACAGCCCTCATGGAGGACCTGTGCTGGGATGCACCTGCCTGTGATATTGAGCTCCAGGACTTCTGGGTGCTGGGATGCACCTATCTGTGATAACGAGTTCCAGGACTGCTGGGTTCTGGGCTGCAACTGCCTGGGATAATGAGCTCCACTGTTGCTGGGTGCTGGGATGCACTTTCCTGGGATAACGAGCTCTAGGACTTCTGGGTGCTGGGATGGACTTGCCTGTGATAACCGAGCTCCAGGACTTCTAGGTGCTGAGATGTACCTATCTGTGATATCGAGTTCCAGGACTGCTGGGTGCTGGGATGCACCTGCTTGGGATAATGAGCTCCAGGGTTGCTGGGTGCTGGGATGCACCTGCCTGAGATAAGGAAATCCAGGACTGCTGGGTGCTGGGGTGCAGTGTTGTAACCTATATAAAAAAAAAAACCCCTCATAATTCTTCCCAGAGGCAAGAGAAAGATCAAAGGTAACTGTAAGAAGAGGATGTTGCCTAATCTAAACTTGTTTGTTAGCCCACCTGAACCTTGTTCTTCCCAAGAAAAGTAACTGCCGCATTCCTGTTCTGTAGTGCACCGCAAACCCCACCCCCTGCATTGTGAGACCAGCAGCTGTTTGTAGTTTTACAGGATAAAAACCCTGCCCTTTAGCTGCTGGGCATGCAGTATTCCATATTGGCTACTGGAGGGTGAATCGCCAGGCCTGTGCTTTAATAAATAATTTTTTCCTTTCCAAATTATTTTCTCTGGCTCCTTCATACCTCAGGAAGCGGGGGACCAGCACATGAATCTGCCTGTGATAATGAGCTCCAGGATTGCTGGGTGCTGGGATGCACCTGCCTGTGACAATGAGCTCCAGGACTGCTGGGTGCTGGGATGTACCTACCTGCGATAATGAGCTCCAGGCCTCGATGGGTGCCAACCACACCTGGGGGCTGCTGCTGTGCCAACCATAGCAAATGTACTTTCCTGTGAAGCTGGGGTTCATGGGGCCCAGGTGAAGCTCCCCTGGTGTCCCTCATTTGATGCTGTGGCAGAGAGGCGTCTCCCTCCTTGACCAGGGTGAATCGATCAAATGAGGTGTTTGCTGAATGACGCTGGAAGGTGATGTTGTCTCCTGATGTCAACACCAAGTGCTGACCCTGAAGAGGAAAGGTTTGCTGTATAAGCTTGGAAGAGAAGGCAGTGAGTGGTCAGCAAGATCTCATTTCTTTTCTTTTGGGTTTTTGAAGCAGTGTCTTTCTGTGTCCCTCTGTCTGGCCTGAAACTCGTGATCCTCCTGCCTCATCCTCCCCAGTCTGGAATTACAGGAATGGGCCACAGTACCCAGTCTAAGACACTTTCATTGACACAAAGCTGTAGTTAATTTTTGTCGTGTTCACCAGGGCCCCAGCTCAGCATCAGTGCCACACCCACGTGTGATTCTCCGGCTTTGGTGGAGCCTCTGTGGACTCCACGGCACCGACCCATGACCTAGTCTGGTCACAAGAAAAGCATGAAGCAGTGTCTAGGAGTGGGGAAACTAGAGAATGCGTGATCTGTACCCTTCGAGGCTTCGAGGTGGAGTCAGAGGGCCTGTGACAACTGCGAAGAGCTGGGGAGGTGACAGCTGAGCTCACTGTGCCCCTGGGGATGCAGGGTGTGAGGTTAGTTAGAAGGACTGGTGCATGGTAGGGAAGGTGTGGTAGGTGTGCAGGCTGCCTGCAGTGGGGCTGTGGGCACTGGGCAGGGATGCGCTCTGGGCTCCTTTGAAGCTTTTGTAAATCTAGCAAGAACTGAGGTTGCTGTGGACCTGCTCCAGCACCCCGCAATAAGGGTGACCCCTATGGACTGCAGAGATGTTCCAGAAAAAATAAAACATAAACACACGAAACCACCCTAGGATAAAGTCTATTAGAAACTAAAGGGGAAACCTAGGGGTGGGAGGATAGGAGCCCAAAGTCCTCACTGGTCACTACCAGTCCCACGGCCTTGCTCTGCTTTGACCACTGGAGCCCTCTTCGGTACCAGCACCAGTACTGCCCGGCAGCGCTGGCGTCCACGCTGCCAAGGATGAACTCTGCTTGTGACTGAAATCCCAGCTGCTCCTTCAGCACCGTGAGTGTGGAGTTCTCCAGGCCCAGCGGATGGTACAGGAAGGCCTTGGCTGTCCTGTGGCACAGGATCCTCAGGGATGCATTCCAGGGGACCATAGGCCCAGGTGCCTCGGAGATGCAGGGAGTGGGGAGGTCTCCTGGGGAAACAGGGCAGGCTCAGGGGGCCGCCAACGCCAGGCCCCCTTCCTCATCCCTCTGTGGGGACATGAATGAATAAAAGTGTGGCCGATTGGTCATCATTTCCTCATTTGGCGTTTCTATACATAAAATGGATGTAAAATAAAATTTAGCTATTTATATATTTATCTGTGTTTTTGAGACAGGGTCTCACTAAGTAGTTCAGGCTGGCCTTGGACTTGCCTTGATCTTCCTGCTTCAGCCTCCCTGGTGCTGGAATGATAGGTGTGCACCACCATGCCCAGCTTGTTGATGGCTTTTTTTTTCTTTCTTTTCTTTTCTTTTCTTTTTTTTTTTTTGGCACTGGGGATCAAACTGATGACCTTGCACTTGCCAGGCAGGTGCTTTTGCCACTGAGCTAAATCCTTAGCCCTGTGGATGGCTTCTTGAGGAGCTAAATTCCTTCATATGTTTCTTTATTGAGTGAATTTCAGGTGACATACAGTTAACCACTTAAAGCTCATGGCTCAGCAGCATTTGATCCATGTGCAATGGACCACTGGGTCTAGTTCCACTTTTGTGTCCTCTTCTGGGGGACACTGTGTCCCAAGCAGTTGCCACTCCTGGTCCCCTCTTTCCACCCCTGCTGCTGTGGATCCCCCAGAGGGATGTCTGTGGGCGGCCCCTCCATGGGGACCCTCACTCGCAGCTGCTCTGCTCTGCTCTAAAGTGAGGGCTGAGGCTGTGCAAACTGTGTCCAGCTGGGAGCTGCAGATGGGTGAGCCCAACCTGGGAGCTGGGGTGTTTGAGCCTGACCCTGAGCTCTGCTCTGCACTGCTTGGGGCTCTGTATCCCAAGGATGCAGTAAGGGACAGTTCACAGCAGCACACCATTCTGGGACCTGCAGGAGCTGAGCAGAGACCTTGTGCAGGAGACCTGGCCAGGGAGCCCTGAGGTGCCTGCTGCTCCCTGGCTACACTTCCCTCAGGTGGGGGGAGGGTGCAGGAGTGTGAGCAGCTGACCTTGCAGCTGGAAGAGAGTTGTCCTCGGTGCTGGCCTCACATGGGCTGGCCGGAAGGGTCATGCCAAGGCCACTGGATCCGTTGAGCAGGGCCGAGGCAGGGCTCAACCTGCTGCACTGTGAGGGAAAAGGCTGTGGTGACCTCAGGACAGGCAGCAGGGGTCAGGGCTCGTGTCCTCAGTGCCACTTGGCACCCACATACTTTCCCAGGTCTGGGTGCTCTGAGCACTCTGTGGGCAGTGAGCCCTTCCCACGGGGACAGCTCTGTCCCTAGGAGATGGTAGGGGAGGTCTGTGGACACTTTGGGTTGTCACCCCATGATGTTTGGGGCGGTCCCCAGGCAAAGGAAGAGCCAGGTGAAGCCCACTGTTGCTGTCAGGACGTGGGAGGCCCAAGCTGAACAGAACTAAGGAGGGGTCTCAAGGATGGGATTGGGGCATCGCAGTGCTGATGACCACAACTGTGGTCACGCAGGACTCGCCATGGGGGCAGCATACCAGCAAGCGAGGCTGTGTTTGTGGTACTGAGTCTGGGACCTTCCTGCTAAGCTCCATCCCCAGCCCTTCTCACCAGCTATTTGGTTTCCAGACAAGGTCATGCCAAGTAGCCCAGGCTGGGCTTGGACTTGTGGTTATCCTGCCTCAGCCTCCCGGGGTTCTGGGGTTAGAGTGTGGGCCGCTCTGCCAGCTGTAAAACACACCTATAGCCGAAGCTGTGAGCCACTTGTGCTCATGAGGAAGCTGATCTGCAGGTGGACAGCAGTTACCACAGGCAGGGCGAGCAAAGAGGCTGAGGGAGGCTGGATAAGGGATCAAAACCCAGCTGGACCCAGTGGGTGGTGAGCTCGCAGCGACCCATCATGCATTTCACGAGCGACTTAATGGGAGGAGCTCGAAGACTCTGACCTCCTCAAGATGGCGAGGAAGCAGAAACGGCGTGACCCTGGTTGATTGGGGTGTACAGGCACACACACAGAACCACAGGGTGCCTGATACATGTGTGCATCACCATGCACTCATCAGACACTGGAAATTGCTTAAGGAGATGGAAACTTTAGCTACCATGCATGTGCTGTTGGGTTATCACGTTGTACCTGTGAATTGGTCCCATACACAGGGGCAGGTACATGGGCTGTGGGCAAAAGCTATGTGCAGAACTGGGGCTCTGGGCTGATGTGGGGCTCACGGAGGGTGCGTAGGAGTTTTCCTTGCAATGGGGACAGCAGGGTGGAGGGGCTGGGTGGTAAGTCCTGGAGTTGATAAATGATGATTGAAGGAGAAACTAAGTTAAGCCCACTGTGGGCAAAAATTGGGGCCTCAGCAGGCAGAGGGTCCATGGGAAGAGGAGACACAGCCAGGTGGCCTGAGAGAGCTGAGCTGAGATGGACCCCGAGGAGTGAGCTGTAAGAGTGGGAAAACAGCTCTATTTAAATACTCAAACAAGTGGGGGTATAGTTGGTAAAAGAAGCAAGAGGAGACATGGATGGACATAGGGTTCACATCACAGGATCTGGGGGACAGAATATGAAATAGGACTTTATACTCCTCAGTGCTCACCTTAGTACTCCTGGGTGCTCATCTTAGTACTTCCTGGTGCTTGCGTTAGTACTCCTTAGTCCTCTGCACTATGGTAGACTATACAGGGACTGGGGGACTAAGGTGGTTTCTGAGTAAGTGAAGCAAACAAACCTGGCAGAATTAGATTGTGCAAACAGGATGACACAGGAGAGAATGATGGGTAAAGAGGTGTCCTGACTTCCTCATCCTCAAAGCTGTGAGCCCCCAAGATCCTGTCGCCTCACAGCTAGCGGAGGCAGAGGCTCCAAGGGACATAGTGGAGAGAAAAAAAGAAAGGGCTGCGGGGGAGGCTGCAGGAGGGAAATGGGCCTGGGGACCTCCGAATTGCATTGCTGCTGTCCAGGTGCTGGACCAGGCTAGTGCTGGGGGACTTGGGCACTCACCTTCCTGTGCTGGAACTGGAACCACGTGGACCAGGTGGAGGACTGGAAGAGAGACAGTCAGGAGTGCCCAGCCCAGGGCCAGCCTCAGGGCAGAATCTTCTGGAATGGGACTTGAGGGGTACACAGAGACTCACACGCACACACCCTTATAACACACAGACTCACACACACACAGTTTTCTCCCATGGCAGGCACAGTCTTGGGGCTCATCCATTTCCAGCCCCCAAACGCCCTCTCCCTCTTCTGCACGAGCCCTGGAGCCACTGCAGGTCTGGGCAGCAGCCATGGGTCAACGTGCTTGCCTGGCCTTGAGTGGGACAGGGACAGCATCTAGACAGCCCAGCTCTCCATGGAGGGACTGGGTTCCCTGGGCAGCTGCGGAGCCCTGTGTGAGGATCGGCCTAGGCTGTGGGGTCCCTGTGCTCCCCTTGATCTCTCACCCAACTCTTGACTCACCAAGGCAGAGGAGGGTGGTGACTCACCAAGGCAGAGGAGGGCGCCATGGTGCTGACCCGACTCTGTGCACCTGGTCTCCTGCTGGACGCAGGTCCAGGACCCAGGCACTGGCAGTCAGTGAGTCAGTACTGCAGGAAGTGAGAGGTCATTGTCCCTCTCCTGGTGCTGGGCATGGCTCCACAGGAGGGAGGAAGGGCCACTCCTGCAGACTCCTGGCTGCCTCCGGAGGGGGTGAGGGGAGATTGAGGCTCACACCAGAGCCTGGGAGGCTCCAATCCATCGTTTAGCAGACTCGTGGAAAGTAAGGGCCTGGAGTGGGTGCCACACAGACAGAGGATTCACCGCTGGGCATCAGTCAGAGCTGCGTGGCCTGGCCGGATCTGGACTAGGAGTTAACTCTGAGAGACATGGCTGCGTGCACTTACTTAGCTCTAGGTCTCTGTCTCTGTCACTCTCCTTCCTTCCATCTTCTGCTCCCTTCCTGTCTTTATAGTACTGGGCCCTGAACCCAGGGCCATCACACAGAGTAATTTCCCGAACCCTTTTTGACTTTTTGTCTTTGAGACAAGGTCTCCTTAAATCACCGAGTTGCCCAGGATGGGCTGGAGCTTGAGGTCCTTTCTGTCTCAGCCTCCCGGAGTGCTGGGGTCACAGGTGTGCATCAGCTTGCTTGGCTGGAACTGTCTTTACACCCACAGGTGTAAAGGAAGTGAGAGGTCATTGTCTTGACCTGCAAGCTCTGACATTTCAAAAGACCACAAAGGGAAAAGGTGACTGAGAGGCCCTAGACAGGGGGTACCCCTGCAGTTTCCTCACTTGCAGATGAGGTTATTTCAGGAGGGCTCCCCTTTCAGCATTCACACACTCAGGGATCCTCCAGATCGAAGCCCAGAGGCTCCACGCTGAGGGACACCTCAGTGCCTCCACCCCGGAGGCAGCACTTGCTCCAGAGTTTTGCAGAGATTGCTTTGGCGTCCATTTGCATTTCCTGCTGCTGCTGCCACCTCACCTCTTTTCCTTGGGCTGAGGCTTCTTCCTCAGAACATTTACAGGGTGAATCCTTGTTTATTTAAACCAAGATGACTTGATTGTTACTGTGTCTCTCTGTGGATTCTTGAGACAGAGACTGCTGAGCAGACACGGTTTGCACTTGGAGGACTTCAGATCTCCCTGCCCTGCACCAGGATCAGGTTCTTACTCCCTGCACTTTTACATTCCAGGGCCCCAGGAGGTGTGGGGTAGGGGAGCTGAGGAAAGGCATTTCAGGGGCAGAAATGAGAGACCTTGAGGGATCTGCTGTTTCATGAGCAGCCAGCTGCCCCAGGGAGCTGGTGCAGAGCCAGGGTGGCACAGCTGGGGCTCCACGACAGGTAGACTTGGAGACAGGACCCTGGGTGAGCTCAGGGACTGGGAAACCAGCTTTGAGCTGCAGTTGCAGGGTCTGTCCCCTGGGTGGTGGAGAGCTCCCACACAGCACTGTTGCACCTCGGTTTAGCAGGTGGAGAAGCTCAGGTTGTCCTGCTTCTCTCCTCCATCTCTCCTCTATGCCAATGGTTCTTGGAGAGAAGTGACTTTGCCAAAGTTCCCGCAACTGAGATGAAACAAAACAAATTCTAAGGCTAAACATCCCCACAATGGTGCTCTCCAAAGCACGGGGAGCTGCTGGAGCCGCTCAGCTCTGCATTTAGGGACAAAACCAACAGGACTACTCTGAGCCCCATTCCGGGGAAACCTCTATAGCCTGCCACACTGCATGCCTGCATGGAGACTGAGGGTTTCGGCTAAAATCTGAAAGAGAAGGGCAGCAAAATGGACAGGGAGTTGGTTAGCGGCAGCTCTCAATCCTGTTGTTGTTGTTCAGAGCACCTACACTCAATCTGCCACATATTTTGGTAAATTTTTCTAGATAATGTCCTCTTCCTGCTTTACTCTCCCTGCATACACTTCAAGGTCTCTTTACCCCATTCTCTCCCCACCTGATTTTGAGTTCCTGTCTCTAGTGGGGCTGCATCTCCATGGGGGTTGTGTGCTACCTTGACTGGGCCCTGGGTTGCCCAGATTGTGATTTTAACACGGCGTGTGCCTGTGAGATACAGGAAATGACCGCTGGAGTTGGGAGACCAAGGAGCACACAGTGTCCTCCCAGCTAAGAATTTCCCAGTGGACTCAGAGGGAAGCCCCCACTTCTGACCACCCCCAAGGAGACACCAGATTTTCCTGGCCTTTGGGTACTCACTGAAATGTTGGCTCTTCTCGGCTGTCAAGCCCTCCAGCTGTTGGAATATTCATCAGCTCTCATGCTCCCACAGCTGGACTCAGCCTGGAGCTGCACCTGAGGTCTCCTGGCACCCCAAGATCTGCTCCACCCCAGCCAGAAGTGGCCTCCAAGTGCCAGCTGAGGGTTTGTGCGGAGGGTTTGGGGGAAGAATGACAGTAGTTTGGGGAAAGGACTGCCACACACGACCACTGACAACACTGTGAGATCAGCCACATGGGAATCTGCTCTTCCTCCAGGTTTTTTTGATGTGTGCATGAAACATTACCAATCAAGCAAACAGAAGATGGAAATACGCCTGGCTTTGTGGAAACCTTGAGACAAACCAGAGCTCTCACCTGGTCCTCAAGCCTCACAGTGTCTGCAGCTCACATCTGCCCTGACTCCTCACTGTGCTGTGACATCTGTCCCAGAGGGAGGTGTCCTCACAGAGGTTGCCATCAGGAGCTCCTACCTTTGGCCTCATGTCGCCAATGGCTGCCATGACACATGGCCTGTGAGGAGACACTCCATGCTTTGATTTTCCTGCTTCATAAAACAGGGGCAGAAGTGAGTTCTGGTCAGTTTTACCTAAGGACACAGCCTAAATGCGTGTAAGATGCACTTCACGAGGTGGCTGGCCTCACTGCACATGAACTCTCATTGACACATGAAGTTTGACCCTCTTTCTGTATACAAAATGCCACTGCACTAGTAGCCCTCTGAGTCCCCCAGACTCTGAATCTTAATTTCTTTTATTCTTGTTTTTTCATCTTGTAAAATTAGCATGTTTGTGACACAAGATAAATACATTCTATGTAGGGAATTGGCACAGGTTCATATTGTGTCTTAATTCCTTTTAAAAATTTAAGTTTATTGGTAAGATTTAGGAAAACACAATGATCACATTCATTTAAATTCTTTTTATTCCCCTCACCTCCCTTCCATCTCCCCATTGGAGTTTGTGAACAGAATGTCCAATGCATCAGAAATAACACCAACAACTGGGATTGTGTCAGATGAATTCCTGGTGTTCTTGTGGCTTCCAGAAAGATCCACTCTTTATTCTTGTATCCCCTTACCCTGAACAAGGGATAGGGAATTATGTGGGGGAAATGTCTGTGCACATAGAGAAGAATCTGATATTTCCGAGGATAACCAGTGGCACCGTGTTAAATGGGAATATGTCTAACACACTGGGTTAACTAAAAGATTCTAAGATTTATATGCAAATGCAAACAGCACATGAAATTATGACAATCTTAAGGAGGAAGAAATAATTAGCAGATTTTAAGAGACATAAAAGGCTATGTGAAGTGCGGGGTTGTCATCAGACAAGGCTCAGAGAGAAGGAAACAAGAGATGGAACCCAAACAATGTGCCTTGGTTACAGTTACTTCAGACTGGACGAAGGCTGCCCATGCTATAGGTGTAATGAAGTGCTTTTTATAAGTGGCCTTGGACAAAAGGGTGCTGTGGAGTGGCAAAAATTAATCTAAATCCATTGTCACATTATACACACTTGTTAATTTCTTTATTACTCTTTTAAAAACATTGCTTCAACCTGTGTAGCCCTTGAGGTTTGAGGGTGAAGGACAGCCAGAGGATGAGAAAATAGAGACAAAGCTGGGGTCAGGTGACGTCTTCTCTCTGGGTGGGAGGAAGGGAACTACCCCCTTGCTGGAGGGGCGTTTACTTATACATTTAGCAACTTAATGTCACATGACACTGATCTTGCCTAGTAATCTACATGTATGGCAACCTAAGGTCCTGAATTCTGGGTTCAGAGTCACCTGTTCCTGAGGCTCATCCAGAGGCGGTCTTTGTTGTGCACCTCAGGGCTGTAACTCAGGTGTGGGCGTGTCACCGCATCACTAGCAGTCCTGCAGTCTCTGGGGAACGCACAGAGGAGGGTGCTGGGCCCAGTGGTGTCCATCACTCTCAGCCCCTCCACTGTGCATCCCGGGCTGTCCATCTGGGGCCGAGCAGACGCCAGGCAGTTCAGAGTTTCTCAAGCTCCGTGTGCGCAGCACGGCTGCGGCAGCTCTTGGCGGCAGGAGCGTCTCGCCCCAGCGTGGACACCCAGGGGTCCAGCTCGCTGTTGGTCAGCTCTGAGGCCTCCTCTGCTGGTAGATCCTGGCCAAAGGGGGCGATGAGTGAGGGCGCAGGGGCCTTGGGGAGGGGAGAGAGAGAGGAGACTCGGCCGGCCACTCACCTCCATGTCTCCTTCGGGACTGCATTCCTGCGTGGCTGCACTTACAGGACACGGAGGTCGGAGGTTGTGGACACGCTGGGGTAGGGTGCACCCACCTCACTGGGGCAAGGTGAGCAAGATCCAGAGTCCTCTCCGGAAAGCCAGATCCGCCCACACGCATCAGCGCTCCCACTCTGCTTCCTGAGGAGCTCCAGCGCTGAGCGAGGATGAAGAGGACAAAGACCAGGAGGAGGGAGAGCAGGAGCATAGGCGCCCACAGGTCAGGATCCACGTGTGTCCGTGGGCGTCTGCGGGGAGACAGAACGTGGGAAGTGGCGCAGGTGCTGCCGCAGGGGTGCCTGGCTCCCCAGGGCTCTGAGTCCTGGGTGCAGCGCTGGGACAGGTGCTGGGGTCAGGAGCATAATGAGCTGCCCGACCCCAGGACTCCCGCCCGTGCTCCCTGAGTAGACCCGAGGTCGTCCTCTCCGCGCTGAAGACACTCGCGCAGCCTTTCGGTCAGCCACGCCGGTCCACTCCCACGCGCGCCTCCTCCTCACTTTGCCCCCCTCCCTGTACCCCCGCAGCGGGGAGCAGAGCCC